CTGTAATTGTAATCAGATCGACCAAAAATTGACAAAACATCTATTAGACCTCCTACAACAACATTTTATAAAAAAAAAAACTAATTCAGGATAGTAGTAGTTCGAATCATGAATTGTGGTTCATCAATATTGCACCGAAGTGAAAGTGAAAAATTTACCAGTTTGATTCATACAACCGAAATACAGCTGAAAAAATATTATTGTATTATTGTGTTATCTTCTATATATATAAAAATAAGTCGGGTTTTTCTTCCTGACGAAATATCTCCAGAACGCACGAACCGATTTCGACAATTTTGCATTCGTTGGAAAGGTCTCGGGCTCCGCAAGGTTTATAGCTAAGAAAATTAGTTGTGCATGGCATCGTGCCTTAATGTAAGCTGCTGGAACTTCACGCACCGTAATTAAAAATTCGAGTAATAACATCAGTGAGAATTATCAGAATTATGCTTGGTTAAGTCAACGAGCAATTCTTGGCGCAATGAATAATGATGTACACGCACTAAATTTCACCATTCAATCAAATATTGCTGGCGATTTGGTGACATACCAATGATTCCGACTGGTCTTCCGTTTGAGTTCAAACGATTGCAATTTCCAGTTCGCCTTGCGTTCGCAATAACAAGTTGCAAGGCCAATCGCTTAGTGTTTGCGGGACAAATTTCAAATAGATTATTTAGAAAATCATTGTTTTTCACATGGGCAGTTATACGTTGCCTGTTCACGAGTTGGAAAGCAAATAATAATATGGGACGCTGGCTGCATGTCTAAATGGGACCCGGGTGCATGTACTGCACACGATGTTATTTATATCAGTCATGTGACGTACTGAACGGAAAGCGTCGATTCCTTCCGAACGATGATAGCAGGGATTGTAAACTATTAAGAGTATTTTACCAACTCATAGTATTGCAAATATATATATATATATATATATATATATATATATATACAGGGCCGGTCCTGGGGTTCTCAGCGCCCGCATGCAAGATTTGTTTTAGCGCCCCCTCCCCCCAATAATTTTAACTGTTTTAACAGTTTTTCGTTAAAATTATATAAACATTTACGTAATTTTTTTTTGATTAATTTTTAGTCTTTCTGGATTTAGTACACAAAAAAATAGATAAAATCTAAAAGCGTATAAAATACATTGATTTAAATTTATTTAGAAAATCCAGGCGACTCGCGGGTTGATCATAGTCAAATATTTTTAAATTCTCAATTATTTCTAATGTATGTGTAATATTAATATATATTTGGGTTTTGAAACATTTAACTTATTTATTATGCGATTTATTCTATAGAACAAATCACGCCAAAAAAGCAAAAAAAAAAAACTAGTATTTGATTTTTAAACACAACACTCGTATTTTCATGTTTTAATTTAAATTAAATTTTCACTATTTACAATATCCAAAATTGAATCGTAAACTTCTCCTTATTGGTATCGTAAGGGCCGAATTGTATTCAACTTTATTTTCCCATCAGATACAGAGTATCAGATTGTTGTTTTAAAGTTAAGCTTTTAAATTATTTTTTAAAGTGTCCAAAGATTAGTAAAAGATGCAAAGAAATTACTTATTCCCTTAAGTATACGGGAACGGGAACAAACAAATTATAATTGTATCTGTATTATTTCCGCATAGTTAATAATTAAATTTTGTATAAAAAAGGTTAAAGATTTTGGTTCCTAAGTACATTTTGCTTCCATTTTTCATATTTGCTCCATAAACCTAACCACGCATGTCTTCAACGTTCAAAGTTCAGCAGATGTGAAACATTTGCAACAAAAACAGAAATTACAATTCAATTTTTCGGAATAAACAAGCCATTTTCTAAGCACTGATTTCCCATTTTCCATTTTCTTTAGTATAATTAGTATATGTTTCTTTGCATTTCAACTAAGTCAGCTTACCATTTTTCACCAATAACGCCCAATAATTAATTTAAACTTTCGTAGGTTTGCTCTTACAGGATTGAACACTAAATAATTTCTTTTTCGATTCAACGTTAACTTCAAACGAAAAAAAATTAATAAGTACATTAAACAATAATAAGTAGAACATTAATTTACAAATTTGCAGAGTTATTATTTGGTTAATTGTTTCTATTGATATTACATTGCAAACTGAATATGTTTTTTGTGTCTCATAGTTAAGTTGGATTGTTTATTATAATCTATTAAGTATTCTGGATTTTATATTTAAAAAAATATATAAATAATATATTATAAATTTTATTTCCGAACCTCGTTTTGGCGCCCCCTTAGGGCGTGCGCCTGCATTTTTGCATGCATTGCATTCATATGTATATAGGGTATATATTTCATATATATATATATATAGGAGTATGTAAATTTGGTATATATATATATATATATATATATATATATATATGTTGAGTATATAAAATCCTTGGCAATTTAGACAATTTAATTTGTATACTAAGTTACTTAAAATATTCGGATCGAATTTAGATTTAGTGAATAATGTTGAAAGAGCGTTATCTGAGGTAAAGACTACTGAAACATTATGTTTAACTCTTCATTTTACCTCAGATAACACTCTTTCAACATTTAGTGTAATTTAGTATACAAATTATTGTCTAAATTTCCAAGGATTTTACATTGGCGAAACTAGCCAAAATTTACACAAAAGGATCTCTCAACATAGAAATAATTCAAAAAATAAAAATCAGTATAGAACAATGCTCTCAGATCATATCAACACCCTTTAATATAACATTGATTTTCTAAACCCAAGTATTTTGAAAACAATATATTTAACGGAAGATTTAGTGAAGGTTGTCTAATATCGTTAAGCAATAAAGCATTCAACAAGAGACTTGACAGCTATTCACTCTGCAATGATTGCAAAATATTCCTTGACAATTTTTCAAACAATATTATTACTGAATAAGCATGTCCCTTTTTATTACTTTCCGTAACCATATGTTTTTACCAGTTTGCACATTTTTAAAAAAAATTCTGTACACACATACATTCAGCATTTAGGCTTCAACAACTATGTACACAAATTTAGTTTTTTAACTCAAATTCATAATTAGTTCTAAATAGTTGAACTTGAATTAGTTTGAAATGTTAGTTTTTTAACTCTAATTCATAATTAGAGCCAAACTAATAGATCTATTATGCACGAGAGTCTTAAAAACTATCAATGCCATCAGAAGGATTAGATCCATAATAAATCAGGATTGTGCCAGAAAGATCTAATTTGCTATGTACCATTTTGTACTTTCATATGAAATATTAACTTGAAGGTTCAGTGCACACACTTCCAAAGTTATGGATATTCAAAAGAGCCTCTCGAGAGCATGCTGATAAAAAAAATTATATATTGAGAAGTGATATCCATGACCACAATACGCAAAATAAAAAAGCTATTAGAATAGAGAACTACATTAGGTGCCAAGATATTTGACAAGATACTTGATGAATAAAAAGCTAAATTTTAGCAATTGTTTGCTAAATAATCCCATGTCGATGTTGAAATGTCGATAATATTCAACAACCGTTTTCTTAAAAAAAAATCTATACAGATCATTGTTAAATTTGAAATCCAAAACTCTATTAATATATATATTAACAGCATTTAAAAAATTAAAACCTCAAACCTAGGCGAAAAATGTTAAACTGTTTCATCACCTTATATCAAATACTCATACTACTTATGAATGAAACTTTCCAATAACATACACGCAAGTAGTATGTACTTCTAAAAAATCTCTTACAACAATTTTTACACAACTTGAAATTTGAAGCTAAAGAATTGTGAACATAATTTTTAATTTTGTTTGCAATTTCACAAATTTATATGTCTTAATTTAACTATTGGAATTATTGCCCGGAATTAGCCATAGTATATGAATATTGTAGTGTTAATTTATATACATGTTTCTTTTTTTATTTCACTGAATGATAATCTTCACGTAAACTGAAACTTTACGTACTTCATTTTTAACTTGGAGTTTAATAATGAGATATGTTTCTTCATAGTTCCAGAGAAAGGGGGTATTGCATATTCCCAAATCATAGACTGAAGCAAACAAAAAATTAAATACCATTCATTTTCCAAGGATTTCCCCAGAATATGTACTGAACTATTAATTTATATCCAATGTTTTCATTAGTGTAATACTATAATAATAATAATATATATAATAATAATATATAAATATTTATTTTTGTACTAGTTATATAATATAAATAGTATTTGCTTTTCTCATTTTATCAACAACTTGAATTAAATACACAAAGTGATTTTATTGAGCATTGTGTGCAATTAAAAATAAACAAAGTATCAAATGAATAACTTGAATGACACATAATATGTAAAACATGACAGTTCAATTGCTTACCCATTTACGAAAGTCGTATCTTCTAATTTCGGATCACTATCAACATTATCCATTTTGTCTTGATTTAAACTTACATAGGCCCAATACTATCTAGTTTTGTAAAATATAAAATATAACGAAATACTCTCAAATAATTTTACACAAAGCAAATGTAACAGTCAGTTTCGCCAGTTACGTGTTTGATTTCACAAGATGACAGTTCATAAAATTGCCAACTGTAGCAACTAAATAAACTAAATATTTATCTATGGACTCAGAACTTTTGCTTGTTTTATATTTGACTTTTGTAAGTTAGATTTTAATAATGTAATAAAATTCATATGATATTATTTGTGAGTCTGATATTTATATTGCAACCCGTTTTAAAGAAATAGTTTTCATTAAATGATAAGCACAATAAAACTTTAAAATACAATGTATATTGCCTCACGCACAATAAGTATGTTTATTGATGGATTTAATAACACTTAGCAGTGAATAATTAAAACCTGCCTATAAAACACAACTTTGCAAAATCATACAAAAATAAAATTATTTTTACGTAGTGCATATTATGTTGGCTACATTTGCCGCATGACGCTGAAGTTGAAGAATGTAAAATTTATTATGTTGCCACACTTGATATCCCCTATATCATATTTCTGACCGATGACATGACCGTCCTTTCCGGTAGTGTCTTTACTCCGAGCAAGTCGTGGGACGACTCATTATTATTTATTTTGTGATAATCTTTTAAATCTCCTAAAATGAGGATCTACAAAGACATCATTACTGGTAAGTCTAAAAATCATCTTCTATGTCTCGTTCGTATTTGAGTTGGATTAGTGTAAAGTTTTAGTGTTTATGAGTAGAAATGACAAGTGAAATTTAATACGTTTGTGAAAGATACGTATACATTTTTTATTTCGTTTCAGGTGATGAGATGTTCTCAGACACATATAAAATAAAGTTGGTCGATGAAGTTTTGTACGAAGTGACCGGCAAATTGGTTTCAAGGTCTCAAGGGGATATCCAAATTGAAGGTTTCAACCCATCTGCTGAAGAGGCTGATGAAGGAACTGAAACAGCCACGGAATCTGGTGTTGATGTGGTCTTAAATCACCGCCTTTGTGAAACTTTTGCCTTCTCAGATAAAAAATCATACACTCTTTATTTAAAAGATTATATGAAAAAGTGAGTTCAAATGTCAATTTCAAACTTAATCTCAATGTGTGTTATCAAAATTTTAATCTTAAAACTCAACTCGTGTGTCTAATTAAAATTTTAGATTGGTGGCGAAATTAGAGGAGAAATCACCAGAACAAGTTGAGGTATTCAAAACAAATATGAACAAAGTCATGAAAGAAATATTAAGCCGTTTTAAAGAAATGCAAATGTTCACTGGTGAATCAATGGATTGTGATGGCATGGTTGCTCTTATGGAATATCGTGAAATAGATGGTGAATCTGTTCCAATTCTGATGTTCTTTAAACATGGTCTAGAAGAAGAGAAATTTTGAACAATACAACTATTTTATTTATGTGAAACTCCATCTTAATATTACTGTATTTTTGTATTTATTTTTATGAATATTTCTCATTTTAATGACTTACATTTTGTATATATTTCAAATATGTTCTGATCTGTGAATAATAAAATAAAGGTTTTCACAATGTACACTGTAAATTTTATAAAAACCTTTAATTTTCAGGTATATTATGCATAAAATATTTAAGTCAAATTTATGCTTACGAGTAAATGTACCCATGTTACCTATGCTGTAAGCCATAAGTTATGTAAAATCATTTCCTATTACTTTTTTTTGTACAGTTATTTAGTTATCAAGCTATTTGCAATGCTCTTACATAAATTAAACGTTCTTATCCAGTGATTTATGTAAAAAAATAATGGTGTGTGATATTCATATTGATAAAAATATGTACATTTAAATGTTGATTTAACTTTTGTATTGATACAATTCTTAAATTAACCTTAAGCGAAAAAAGCATTTGAATTTGTTGTTTGTACCAAAAAACAATTTTTATATCACTTATCAACCGATTTGAATAATTCAACAGAAGTTGATTAAAACAAATTGTGTAAAGATTTGATTAATTTTGAAGAGAGGTCAGACCGTGGCATGAAGGAAAAAGTAAAACAAAAGGGCATTTGTCTCTAGAGAACAAATCAGCTGATTTTAATTATTCAATTTGCATTGATGGTCTTTGTAGTTGAATAATTTAAAATAAAGTATGCCTTTATTATAAAGTTATCAGCAGTTTCGAACATATCGAGAAAACTACAGCAATATAGTAGTCAAAAAAAAACAGCTTTTATAAAAAAAATTTAATTTGATAATATTTAGGTTAATAATATGCATAATATTAACTATCATTGAAATTGACTTTATACATCAACAATTGTAACCTTTGAAGAAAAACTTGATTAGCACAAAAAATTAAATTGGCTGTTTTATGTATAGAATTAGGCCTCTGTACCGACATGCATTTTTTATGAAATCTTTAATTTTGATATATAGTTTTTTTTTTTTCAAATGTTTTAATAATTGATTCAAATCGTATAATAGAATATTGCAAGAAAAAGCCAAAAGTTTTATGAAGAAAAATTAACTTAACAAATAGACAATATGCATTTAATTAATTTCCTAATGACCTCGATTAAATAATAGAAAGTGAATTTCATGGTTTCAATGACATAACTATATCTTTAACGATGTATAGTAGATAAGTATAAAATAATTAGCAATAATTGGTTGTAAAATGAATGGGATATATATATATATATATATATATATATATATATATATATATAAATGAAATCAAAATTGATTGATAAACAATTACCATAATTCAAAACATGTTGAAATAAACAACATATCATTGCATAAACTTAATACTAGAATTGAAGTGTTAGGTCAAATTTAACTACAACAGATTCTTTGAAAATTTTTATTTTTCCACTATATAAGTAAGCATGATTCTAAGCTCATTCATATTAAAATAAATAAACCTAAATCTTACATGTCAACAGTGCCACAAAGAACATTAGAATAAATAAACTTACAAATTTAGCATAAGCAATTAATTAACTTAAATTGCTAGTCCAAAAACTGACACAATACAGTACATGGTTTTGTTTTCCCAGCGAACAGTACAAGATCCATCGGTGCTATTGTCCCAGAAACATGAACTAGCCGTGTGTAAACCAGCACCATTCTTTTGCATAATAGTGCATGTAACTATATATTTATAAGGTTTCTGTAATTTGGTGAGAGCGCTGAGACATGCCTCCACTACCGACGATGTCCATTGATTGACTTTATTGTGTATATATGCATTTCCACCAATTGAATTCTCTATCGCCTCTTTAATAATCTTACTGACGTCATCCACAACAAATTGTGTCTCTTCTGTCAAATCATCCATTTCTTCATAATATTTTGAATGATCGCACTTATAACTGATTAAACATAACACGAAACGTTCATATATGTTGTATTCCAACAAATTATTAGCCACTGATCATGCTGTGGTGACTCAGAATTTGACGTTCATTCAACACAAAACAGGTTCGAAAACTTAATAAAATTTTATTACTCACTAGATTTTCAAACGCGCTTAATTTAAAATCAAAGTTCATAGTATGTTTTTTTTATAAAGATTATTTGTCAAAATAAATTAATTTATATACTAAAATTCAAAATTAAATAAAACAAGTTAGATTTCTAATTACTTAGGCTTTTTGCATTTTAGTTTTTAATTTATATATAAATATAATTAATTTATTGTTGATGTATATCTTGTTATTAGACTTTGTTATTACATATATCAACATCAAATTCAGAATTACAGAAAATATATATACACAGATATTATTTGCAATTAGATTGTAAATGTGCATTATATACTTCATGCAAATATAAATTAATATACAATTTATAAAAAAATGTTGTCAAATGCTTACATCTTTATTCAGATGACAAGTTTGTCAACATCAATTATCTATCTACATAGTGTGGTACTTTCTTTCAAAGTAACCAAGTTACGTCATGAGTGTTCAAATATGCAAAGCTTTGATCCTTCAAATCAATACATACCTTAAATGTATGTACACAATCAATAATACTTAAGAAAAATAGAACTAAAACATCACAGACCCCTTGCTTGTAACATTATGCAAGAAACGTGATAATGAAACATAGCATTTAAATGTTTTTCATTTATTATTAGGCTACTTAATACATTATAACAGTTATTCATAGTAAACAATTTTTATAGCAAAATGATAACAATGCAGTATAAAAATTTAAATGTTCAATTAAACAGAAGCACTGAATTTATTTGAATTTCATTTAAATATATTTTCTGCTCACATAGATCTATGGTGATCACAAACATATTTTAAACACCGCATTTGCTTCCAATTCATGACATAAAAACCTAACTAGTACAAAATTAAAAGTTGAATGAAAGAAAAGTCAGTATATTGCACGTATTGAAATCTCATTAGTAAATTTTAAACAGGAGTACTGATATAATTAAAAAATGCAGAATTTTTATAGAATCTAATAAATCTGTCCTAAAGATTTTACAAAGTTCATATTTACAACTTATAGCGTAAAGTATCATTAAAAGTATCCAAAATCATTTAATAAAAATACTTTTCTTAATCATATAAGTAATTTACACTCTAGACTCGATTGTCAAAAACGACCACTAATGATTATCTTTAACCATAGTGGAAAATGTAATGAATTCTTTTGTATGGCAATTGGAAAACATTTTTAAATATATTGTAAGATATTAAGTTGTATGTAAAACTGATTTAATTAGAATAATAAAGTTATTACATATTTGTTCAAAAGTCATATTCCACTACTTCTTGATAAAAACTCAATCAGCGGTTGTTTCCAAGATTCTTTTTGTGATAAAAAGTAACTATCACATAATACATTTAAAAAAAAATCCTTTCAGATTTTTCAGTTTCTTCTCATAGATAAATGCTATAATTATCTGAATACATACTATGAACTTCAAAATTATCAAATTAAACATAAATCAATTGATATTTAAGAATTTAATTTATAAAAAGATATTGCAAAAACATGAATAAAAAACAAAAATCTAATATATTGCATTGTAACTACATAAAAATATAATCCAAAAATAATGTAATACTTAAAACTAGATAATATGAGTTTGACTTCCTCTTTCTCCATATACAATTCATTGTATAATGTCACCTCAATTTGGATTTTTTTCTATTGGATACAGAAAACAATATTTGTGAAGTCCTTAAAAGTATATTATTATATATGAAAAAATGTTACACATTTACATACATTTGTTAATTTAATATAATGATAACCATAAGATAATTCATATATTATAATCGAGAATGTGGAACAATTACAAAACTTATGGTCAAATAAAAATTAATAGAACCAATAATAACAAAGCATTAATCGAATATAACAAAATGAATCAAACATTTTTTTAATCATATACTAAACATAAATGAGTTGTATAAAGGTAATAAGAGAAATTAATTTAAAGCTATTGCCAAATGACACATAAATCCAAGTAATAATTTGATGTTGGAATATATTACTAAAAATATATAATATGATAATTTGAAACATTTCACAACAATTTTTGCAAAGAATCAATTTCATTTCAGTGAAAAACAGTTGGTATCATATCAAATATTTATCTATAGTACCAAGCACAACCTTCACTTAGAGCTTTTTGTTCTATTTACAATGTTATTGCTCATAAAAATAAAAGAAATTACTTCCTTAATCAACTATGAAAATCATTCATAGTTCATTCCTCGAATTTAGTAAAATATAATATACAGGTAAAAACTTGGATTACAAACTGGCAATCTTAGAATATTCTTCAGTCCATGACCAATAGTAAATGTAAATTAACATAAATAAATTACTTTAGTGTTAAAGTTAACTTACCAGTTTACATAAACCGCACCCGCTTACTATGATGTGTGGGAGACTCCATATTGACATCACCAGGACTGGCTGGTCTTTTACAGTGTCTTGCTATTTCACCAGTTACAAAGGCATATAACTCAGGACCATGTCGAGCACGTCGTCCACTCAAAGAACTCATGGCAAGTGCTTCTCGAAAAGTATGCAATTCTGCATCAGGACCCAATGTGGTTGCAACAGGGCTAATTACTGGTCCCAGTTGCGATAAAGGCAAAGTTTCAGGTTGAGTAGATAACGTACATGGTTTTGGAGAACATCTAAAAGAATATAGAAATAAATCAAATGTAGTGTTAATCATTACATCTAATTCTAATCTACATCTTATTGGCTGGCTAGATGAGATCATTGGCTTGATGATAGGAAAAATCTAATTCCATACTATTCAAAATAAAAGCAATTTGTCAAATTAAATCCTCACTTAAAAAGTAAATTTTATAAATATGAACAAAAAAAAATATTTACAAGTTCAAAATCAATGCCATAATCTCTCGTTTTCTATGCACTTCATGGATTTTCTTACATTTTTTTAATATGAGAACCTAGATTTCATATATATATATATATATATATATATATATATATATATATATATATATATTGAATGTTAATTTGCAGACAATCGTTGAAATAAAAGAACAATAAATAATGAAGTATTTATTTTAAATTTAATCTTTTTAAGCTTTGTAAAAATTATTTTAGATACTGTATCAATATTGAAAAAATTGCTGAATGCTGACACACATACCGTGTTGAAACATATAAAATAAATAGTTCATTATTCATTGTTTTATTTTGACAATTGGCTGCAACTTAACATTGAAGAATATGTCTCAACATCGAACAAAAAAATCTAAATCATATACAGTATACGGTTTGTGCTATAAAAAACTCATATTTAACATACAATTCAGGCTAATTCGGAGTGCGTTCTATGGAAACGTATACACCTAAGTCTGTTTCTACACGGTAGATTGGTTCCAAAAGAAGTCGTGTAAAAAAAAAAACGTGTAAAAAAAGACATTGATCTTATACAAAAATGGGTGATTTGTTCCTAATCTCTAAAACGTATTAAAATTAGTGAAAAACAAGAATTTTTAAGAACAAGAATTCATGTTTATTTTATTAAATCAAATATATAATGCTTATTTTCACAAGCATAGTAATTAATGATAAAAAAGATATGCACTCTAATCCTAAATGTAATATAAATTCCCCTAAATTAGTGCTATTCACATTTGCTTTGACCAGTAAAAATTGTTTGTACGCGCTAAAGGAAATTCACTTAAATCTTTAAGCTAGTGTTTCAAATACATAAAATTTCAAATCGTGCTAAATGGAATAAAATCGTGTAAAAAAATTGAAAATATTCAATTTTCAAACCGTGTTATATCAAAACCGTGTACAAAAAGACCGTGTAAAAACAGACTTAGGTGTATAGTGCAGTATGGGAATCGCGCTATGAGAGTTAGTACAAATCGCACCACTTTTATCGTGATGCATGGAGACCAAGAAATACAACTTGGAGTTGAATACAGATGAAATGACAGAGAACTCATTTAAAAATTGGCGCAATGAAGTAGTCAGTTCAAACGTGTTTATAGACAGCTATTATATAATGTCTAAAAGATAAAAGTCGATAACAAAACTGACATTAATACCCTTTTGATATTCCCATAATCACTCATAGGTTCCGCAAGGAACTTATGGACTGTTGAACAAAAACCGTGTAATAGAAAGTCTATGCATTCAGAGGGATGTCGGATTGTGTTAACCGATGATTGACTATATATATATATAGTAGAACTTCGATCATCCGGACCTCGGTTATACGGATTTGCGATTATCCGGACCACCAACCGCGACAGAGTTATTTGTATGTACATACCTACAATTCAAATTTTTGCCCGATTTATGCTGCAGTTTAGTATATGTATGTAATATAATCTAAAAAAATATATATGTTAATTTCTTATTAAACATTGATTTTCGTTGATATCTATGTATATATTTGTTATTTTTGATAAATACACATTCTTTATACATTGGATTATCCGGATTTTCGATTATCCGGATGCCTATCGACAATAATTAGTCTGGTTAATCAAGGTTCTACTGTATATATATATATATATATCTATATATATATATATATATATATATATATCTATAACTATCAAGATATATATATATATATATATATACATATAAAATTTAGATTTTTTTGTTTGACGTTGACACATACTCATATACATTTTAATACCATATATAATTTAATTTAAATACCGTATATAATTTTAATACCAAGTCTAATAACCGGTCTTAACATCAATGAAAAACTTAATAATAAGAATTATTGTTCTTATTCTTATAAAAATAAGAATTTATTGTGCAATCCATAGCTTTCGGTTATTATCTTAGCCAATTGTATCTTAATAACTAGTTTACAGATAACTAGTATTTATTGCACACTTACTCTTTTGTAAGTGTGCAAATAAATGTTATCTGTAAACTAGTTATTAAGACTAAACAAATTAAGACAAATTATGTCCTAATAACTAGTTTACAGATAACATTTATTGCACACCTACTCTTTTGTGATGATTTAATGTTAACATAATTGTGAAATATTGTTATAATTATAAGCTTAATGTTTATATTACATGGTATAATGCATTACCATATCCTCATACCATGGATTATTGAATTTTCTGTTTTTAACACTAAGGATAAGTAGATTGTGGGTACTTCTTACTTTTTGTAATTTTTCAAACTCAATTGTTATACATTTCAATTCTTAAATTTTATTTTTAGCAGAAGTAGTTTAGAAGGCTAGGATTTTAGCCAAAACATATGGATTATAAAATTATTTTTTTGTTCAAATATATATTATTAATAAATATTTTGAGTTGGAAACATATTTTTGATGTATATTTTCAATTGAAAATATATATATCGAACAGTGTGATTTATATATATATATACATATATATATAAACAGTGTGATTTATATATATATATACATATATATATAAACAGTGTGATTATATATATATATATATATATATATATATATATATATATATATATATATCGAACAGTGTGATTTTCAATTTTCAATTGAAAATATACATTAAAAATATGTTTCCAACTCAAAATATTTATTAATAATATATATTTGAACAAAATTAGTTGTTAATTAGTAGTTAATTTTGATGTTGAAATATATGAGTTAGTTCTTGAGGGCGATACATCAAACAAAAAAGGCAAAGATTTATAAAATAATCTTTAATTCCAAACGTTTCGACATTCAATTTAATGTCATCATCAGTGGATCTAAAAACAGTATAAAAATTGATATAACTATTAATTATAAAATATGTGGATTGGTATAGAAACTATAGATATAATAGAAGATTTAACAGAACAACAACACTTAACAACAAACAGAATATAAAAGATAGAGAAGGTAATAGAAACTAGATACACATATATATGTATATGTGTACACTTGTATGATGAGTACATATATGGATGCGCGTTTGCCCCTGTGCACATACACATGTATGCATTCATATGGATGCGTGGGCATATACACGCATTTATATATATGCTTGTATGTATATATATATATATATATATATATATATATATATATATATATATATACTCTTTTCTCTTTTTTTTCTATTTTATCTATTTAATATCTAGTTTCTATTACCTTTTCTATCTTTTATATTCTGTTTGTTGTTAAGTGTTGTTGTTCTGTTAAATCTTATATTATATCTATAGTTTCTATACCAATCCACATATTTTATAATTAATATATATCAATTTTTATACTGTTTTTAGATCCACTGATGATGACATTAAATTGAATGTCGAAACGTTTGGAATTAAAGATTATTTTATAAATCTTTGCCTTTTCTTTGTTTGATGTATCGCCCTCAAGAACACACTCATATATATATATATATATATATATATATATATATATATATATAGAATTTAGAATTTTAGTAGTAGTAGTATACCAGCTCTAAAAACTATTCAGATATATTTGTAAATAATTTAAAAATATTTGCTATTTACGCTATCATTTCTAGGTAAAATAAAAGTAAAAGTGAAGGATGAGCAAAATTTCACATTTTTTAATGCTTCTTAAAAACATTAGATGAATGAGCTAAAGTATTTAAAAAAAATTACCTGTGAGTAGCAGCACGTGGGGGTGGTGGCTTTCCTGCTAAATATGCTAATAAATCCTCTCGTCTTATAGTACGCCTGCGCTTCCTGGCCCAATTCATTATATCCCTCGTTCTTTTCTGATAGCCACATTGCAAAGCAACTTCACCTGTGCGACGGATTCCATCACTGGATTCTAAAAGTATTTTAAGAACTTTGTATTATTAATAACCAAAATATCACCTATTTTGTCAATGCATTCATATTATGTAAGCACACAAAGCACTTTTATACATGAACATATCTACCTAATACTGATTGAACACCATTTTTAATGACAACATGTACAGCAAAACCATACAAAGAAAGCAATCAACCTTAAATTTAATGGACCACACTTGCAACAGATTCTTATCCAAAACAATTTAAGGTCTGTAAATACAGAAATCTGATATAATTAATAAAAACACTTATCGTGACTCTTAACAAAAAAAATTTAGTGGTTTCATATAAAAGCATGATCAACCAGAAATAGTTTTTGTCTACTATTATACCACTAGTACACAAAAAATTGCTTTTTAAGAAAGTAAATATGCAAACAGCATACATAAACACTCGAGTTCACTATTTGCACATTTATGTTATATAAAAAAAAAACAAAAGAAAATTGTAAAAGCACCTTTATATAGACTTGTTACAGTCCCTGCCGCAGTTTGAAATGGAACCCATAGAGCTCCTGTAACATCAGTATGTCTTTCTGCAAAGAAAAAGAGAATTCAAAGTAACAACAATAGACCACCCAAAACAGCTGATCAATAAGTTGACAAAATGTCGACGGCCTTGAAAATAACAATATTAATTTGACATATGAATTTTGATAAGATAGATCCTCACCCCTATAAAGTTGTGCAACTGCTGTAGCAGAGTCTTGAAAAGCACTCCAAACATTTCTTTGCACAGTATCTGTCTGGGAATTTAGGACTTCCTCATAATCAGTCTCATTTTGAACTGCCTCGATACATTGTTGTTCCCATCCCGTCAACCACGACTCGTCATTCTCTGACTGCATTTGAATAAATTTAAATATTCTAACTACCGACTAGAATCAAAATATAAATAGAACTCTTCAATTGGAATATACAAAATCAATTTTCATTCAGGTGCTATCACGAACAGCAATAGCACAGGCACGATCCATTTGTACATGGCTAAACCATAGCAAAGTTAGAAAAACCAAATAGATGCGCGTGACATTTAAACAAGAAAACACAGATTAACAATGAAGTAAGCAATGACGCTACTACCAACATACCGATATATTAATTTTGGCTTCATTTACACCATAAGATTTACACTTGCATGAAAAGCATTTATGTTTATCTATGTCTATGACTAATGCAGAGGTGTCCAATGTGTGGAGCGCGCCCCCTCAGGGGGCGGCAAAATACAATTCTTGGAAATAACCAACAATTTTGAGATGATATTAAAAAAGAAAGTTTTTATGCATATTTTTACATAATATTGCATATCAATTTGTAGTCTGATAATATCAGTTGAGTATTTATAAAATGAAATTGTTGAAAAAATTAAGGGGGGCGCAACAATTTTATTTATTAGAGCAGAGGGTCGCGGTGCAAAAGATTGTAAAAAGTATTATTGTTTTTGCAGTAGAAAAAATCTGTACGACTTAAATTCACTTAAAACAATATTATAATATATGCTGGCCTGATCGCATGAAGACCTTATTCGTTGGATGTGGTCAATATAAAAATCTTATGTTTTCGCTATAATTCGTTAACATACTTTAATATGTTTTATTAAATATAATTAATTAAGCACTTTCTATAGTTTTGACATAGACATACTTTGTATATCAAATTACAGCACCCAACATTCTGCGTATGAATAGAAAAATATTCATTCCATTTGCACCAGTTTGGAAAGCAATCACTACGAAAATAAAAAAAAAAACATAGTACTGCTACTTGATCAAAACTGAAATTTTTAACTAAATTGTTTTATTTGAATCAATCGAGACTAAAATTCAAATGTTAATTAATATTATTTGACGCTCTATATTGATTCCAAATTATGTTTTTGTGTATGTCTGTATTCGGTATTGATACATAGCACGTTAAAAATAAATAATTACAAAGATGAAGATGATTTTTAACAAAAGGATTCTTTTACCATGGCACAGATAGTTTTTTAATTTATAAATTACAAAAAATTATAGAGTTAATAATATTAATATTTTTTTACTTTGATAATTTTTCACTAAAGTTTAATCAAGAAATTAATATATGTATTAAATGTAATTGTAAAGATGACCAACAATAAAACATCCTACCTCTAGACTGTTGGTCAGGCCAGTTTATCAACAAAACATTTCCACGTCCTATTGCCATCAGGAGATCAACATTCTCTAGTCACCTAGAAAAGGTATGATATGTTTCGATGCATCTGGAAGGAATTCGAACACTATTGCAGGTTGAAAGCATAGCTGTGGAGTGGCTTGGTGAAAAGGATGATAAAATTGGAATATATAATTTTAACTTTTATATATAATTATAATAATTTTAATACCCTTGTTTTGTTATATTATTTTCCCGTTTCCGTTATTATTTTGTAACATGATTGGAACTCATCTGTTCAATCGGTATCAATTAAGATTGATTTATTGGTTTTGAAATTTATTAATCGCTACTTCAATTTATATACTTATTGTAATATTTACAACAACTCAGGACTTTACAACTTTTTTCTCTGTTTTCTGAGTTGTTTTCATACGAACACACAATTTTGATTATGCAAATCTCAAAATATCATACCATTCATCAAAATTATTTCGCTGTTACTATATTTCTGTATTGAAAACGCTTCCAGAAAATCAAGCAAATAAGGTCATTTGTAAGGTAATGTTTTATTATAATAAAATTAAAACGACTTACATAGAGTAAATAAATCAACTTATTTTAACAAAAAGAACTCCATAAATCAAGAGTAATACTAAAAAAATTGACTATAAATAAAGGTTTACTAGTATTAACAAATAAAGTTAGAATTGCTCAAACTATTAGTCAGTCATTTTCAAAATATTTTTGAAACTGGACGGATAATGAAACTGGACGAACATATATATATATATATATATATATATATATATATATATATATATATATGCACTAAATTTTTTACACAGTCAATTTTTATACTACTTCAGAACAAAGGATAGTTTCTAAATTTAGAGATCCTATAGTCCAATAGTTATATTAAATGAAAAAAAGTATGGAACATACACATGCTCCGTTCCTAATTTCTATTATAATCTGTTGCATCAGCATATTAATTTGAAAAATAAAATATTCTTTATACATGTTATTTAAATAAATAAATTGGTATTTGTATATATATATATATATATATATATATATATAAAACTGAATATCATATATATATATATATATATATATATATATATATATATATATAAGGTATTAAATGCTCAATGTATTAAATTAAGTAATTTCCTTAACTTAGTCTATAGTATCGATACATTTTCACATCAATTGAAAAAGCAAAGAAGAAAATCTTGAATATATAATAGCAATCAGAAATGCAATTTCAAAAATAAATATAATGAACAAAGATTCCTATAAAAATTTGATTCGATTATTAGCATTCCAATTCATACCAGCTGGGCACCTCATGAGACCCAGTGCAAAATAATAAGAGCCCTCATTTTGCATTGATGTATATCATAAAAAGTAATAAGTAAAAATAAAACACATTGATTAAAGTAATATTTTAAATTTAGTTGCACCAACTTGCAAAAGGGCAAAATTATTGGTAGATTATATACAGATAGCTTTTGCTAATCCTGTCATGGAAGACTTAAATTATTACTTAATTGAATACAATTAGTAGTAAATTTCTAAGATTCTATACTTAATAAAATAAAAAATATAAATTATTAGCTGCAAAACACTGTACATATTATAATAAACTTTTCATGTATTTGTCTATTTTAAATTCTTAAAATAGACGAATAAATCAGTATTTTGAAATTCTTAGAGTATTTGAAAAAGAAAATTTACGTGACAATTATGTTTCAAGATTATTCTTTCGAATAATAGGATTATTCTAATAATTGTAAGGGCCGTACTGAGAACTATGAAAATAAGGCCCAGGATAAGCTTGAGGCGCTGGATAACTTGCATACGCGTACTGTCCTTGTTTTTGTGGATATACTGAAACAAAATTAACAAATAGTTATATCAATTAAATTTTTTATATGCAAATAATCGATGAAGATTGTAAAGCAATTTAATACGTAGTATGCACACGATATATTAAATTTGCAGAAACTAAATTGTGAAATATTGTTTATATAACAAGAACATATTTACAATATGGTTAAATAGTTTAGAAATATTAATAGAACATGATTTATTGCGTATAATAAATATAACATAGAAGGCATTTAATATATTTATTGTTATTGAAGTAAATATAACATAGAAGGCATTTAACATATTTATTGTTATTGAAGTAAATTTCAGTTTATAGTTTACTGGTGACGTATGGAACAAAACGTTAAGGCAAATTGTTGTATCTTCTCGTTGCAAAAAGTGAGTCATCAACCTTTAATTGCAAAGAAGCTGCTCAGACCAGCTGCAGATAATAACAAGCACGTTAGATTTCCAACTAATCTTTTCCAAATAAACTTTAGACATTATCCAATTGGTTTAGGAACAGTGCAACACACAATTTGTTAATTTCCCGTAGGGCAAGTTATAGTAATCGCAAAAAAATCGAAAATGAAATTTTTTATATATCTTTACGTTTCAAAGGTTTCTGAATATTTTGGCATACCTTAGAAAAAATGGATGTATGTGTATGTGTATGTGTGTGTGTGTGTGTGTGTGTGTGTGTGTGTGTGTGTGTGTGTGTGTGTGTGCGTGTGCGGATACAAATTTTCGTTGACGATTTCGGGAACACCGATCAACCGATTTGAATAATTCAACTAGCTGTAAATGGAATTCTGTCTTAAGGCAATTAGGGCATCGTGCCTTAAGGCAAATTGCTGGAACTTCCCGTACCAAAAATTATTATTTTTTTAAGTTCTTCGTTTATTTTAAATTATATGAAATTTTATAAAGATTACACGATACACAGTTTAGATCATTATCTACCCGTGTCATTACTTTTTAAAGTATTAAATGCATACAATTACCGTAGGTAAAATTATATATAACGTTGTCATTCATTATAATGAATGAATGACAATTGTGATGAATGTAAGATTATTTCAGAATGGTTCGTAACAAAATTCTGAGTATGTTAATTAAATTTGTTACACTACTAAAGAAAATTTTGAGCTAAAAGTTAATAAGGCATTAAAAGTTGATATTGAGCAGTTTTAAACTTTGCAGTCTGATTTGGATTTTTAGACAGTATTGCAAGTAATCATATGAGTAATAAAATGTTGGTTACCAGGCATCAAGTATTGCAGATTCAAAGCCTCTTCCCTTTCACGTTCGCCGCGAAGGCAAACAGCTGCCCCCGACAGGAGCACAGCTGATACTAATGAACTTCCAACTCCGATCCAAGCAACCACATATGACCAGTCATATGTTACTCTCGTGTTAGCGCGTAAAATCTGGGTGTCGACAAAACCCGTTTTTCCATATTTCACCATCCCGAAATTTTCCCCAGATTTTAAATATTAGTATGTAGCAGATTACCAAGATCCATCGACGTCCAAATAGCATTATATACAACAGGTTTGTGTTAGGAGAAGTGTTATTTAGCAGAACGCGTTCAGAATATGAAACAGAAGATAAGAAAAAAATAGATTAGTTTCGTCGAAATTATAAAGTTTTGTACCTGGCACCACATATTGAAGACTTGTGCTTTGCTTCTCCATTCTCTTCCTTTCCGATCTCAAGTACTTGACTGCTATGAAGAATAAGATGCTTGATACAAAATGAGTACCGCAAGATAACCATGCCAGTATGTAACTCCATCCGTACCAGACTTCAGTATTGTTACGTAAAGTCTAACAGAATAAAGAATTTGTTGTTTTTGTTTTGCACTGCTGCCAATATGTATTGAAAATAGGATATAATAACTTTATAGCGGCGCAGTGTTTAAGTTCGTTTGCGATATCCATATTATCTCAACAATGTAAATATAAAATTTCGGGTACTGCGGTGTGAAATCGAGATTGGGAAACCTATTACACTAAAACATTCCTAATTCGAGATGGAGATTAACTCACTTCTCGCGCTTATCACCTGGGTAGCATACCCATCACAATTATAAGTTTTATCACTGATAAAACTTATAATTGTGTGGGTGATAATAAAGAATATCGGTATTCTTTAAAAAAAAATCAGTTCTATATTGGTATATCTATACGTGTATATTATCTTATATATTTGATAATATATTTTGTAAGTAATTTTTAATATACTACAAAATGAAAACTATAGTTCTCGTGTAATTCAGAATTGGTTTATCATAAACAAAATTTAATGCAGTGATTGTTAAAGTATAAAAAGAGCCTGGCCTTGAATAATTCACAGCTGCTGCTTTTTCCTAACGAATTGAACAAATGAATGTTAGTAACATTTGAAAGAATTACAGTTAGATTATCAAAGTTGAAGCAATAATAAATTCTTTTAAGAAGGAACATTATGAGTTGCTCCTCCAATCGAATCTGCAAATAGGTAAATCATTACTGAAAATGTAAAATATCAATAATAACTTATAACAAATACAATGGTAGTGGACAAATACTAGTGATATATTTTAAATCTGAAATGCTTTGTTAAATTATCGAATAAAATAAGTCTGAAATGCAAATTGTTAAAATTGATAAAAAATATATTTTTTAAGAAACTTACATTGCTCCATTGTTGGTAGTATTCTTCTCCGACGATTTTTTCTTTTTCGTAATATTCAACTCCGTGCCACAGTCCCATAGCTCCGGCAGACAATAAGCCTGGTTAATAAAAATGATTTGATTATTAAATTTGTAATCTGTAATATAGGAAGTTAACTAAAATTTTTTGAAACCGTTTTGAACCAATTATAATTTTGTATGCATAATTTAATTTTTTAGTGAATGTTTATTATAATCTTCAAATTTTTGACAAGTCTAGAAATGCACCTATATTATTTTTTGTGTTTGTTTTGAACATTACTGAAGGATACATCCAATCCAAATCCTCAAAACATATATTGAATTGTAAATGCGAACTTTTGACATGACATTTTTTAAAATATTTTTTTGCTTTTGCAATAAGACCTTTAAGAAGGACGAATAAGTTCAATGTTTGACAATGTAGCCTTTACAAAGGCTTATATAAGCACCTATATATGTAAGTTCATAAATATGTATTTACGTCATATATAATATAGAGTACAATTTTTGTGTTCGTTTTACAGATAAAAACTATGGATTCATAAATATCTGCTAATTTTTGAGTTTGAGAAGTTGCGTTAAAAAGGTGAAAAATATTTCAAACTTCATTTTTTTTTCGAAATATTTCAAATAGCCTTATGATTTCAAATTTTAATTTGATAATGACTTTTCTTTTGCTAATATTTATTTTTAGAACGTAAAGTTCCTGCAATTTGACTCAGAGCGCAATACGGTATACCACTAGTTAAATTCAACATACAAGCAAAAAGCATAAGAATGGCGGTGGCCGTGATGTTTCCAGGACTTCTTCTCCAGCATCCAGCAACTCCAGTCCAGAAGGCAGCAAATACTGAAGCAAATGCCACAATGAACAAAGCGACTGTAGCTCTGCCCATGTGCAAACGAGCCATGGCATCTTCTGAGAATCCACGTGTTGCGTCTCTCGAATCGGGAATGAAGTAATCTACATTGTTACAGTGTGTCTCCACAGGTGACAAGTAGGTCTCGACTGAAAAAATAAGTAATATATTATATTAACATTGTCGGACGTGACTTCTACTTTATACTAAAATTTTGATCTCAATCGTTGGTTTTAAAACATACATGCTGTGCGTACTTATTTCATTTTTAATATGAAAACTTCAAGAGACTTCGACGATAAGTTGAACAGGAAGTATATAAAAGCCATATTCAAACACACCATATTTTTGACAAAATATTTGAACAAATATTTTTCATATTCTGATCTCAAACATTTAAATAATTGTAAACTTTTAAATTCTCTTTAAAAAACCTTAAATAAATAAACAGCTTTAGGTACGGTTGTGCCAGTCGAGATAACAGGCTAAACTATATACTGATTTTGAGATAGGGTCCAAATGAAGAAAGATTAAGCGTATTTGTTCGAACAAGTTTCCATTATTGCAATGAGTCAGCGCCCTACATTATAACATGATCAGTACACCAAATTGCTTTTAAAAAGTGAAAAGTAAGTTGTTTGTTCGATTTCTTTTAATAATAACTGTTTCTTGTATACAGATAGATGACTTTGTTTGTTATTTTGTTGTAAGTTGAATATTAGCAGTTAATTACCAGCAATTAGTTTTGTTATATATTGTTATATTATATTCATGAGCTTTTTTTAAATAATTATGTTATGTGGTATTACATATTTCTGATAATAAAAGTTGTAAACCATTTTAGTCAATTGCTGTGCAGGCAATTATTCATATTACAAGGCTACAAAAGATCAAAATATGGGTATTGCATATTGAGTATAAGTGGTAAAAAATAATGTATTGATTTGTTAAATATAATGTTTATATTAGGAAACATAACATAACATAATATATTAGAAAATAATTACTAGTAAAGGAGTCTAAAGTACTGTGCTTTTCAAATACTAAAATAGCTAATGTGTTACTTGTTTACTATGAAAGTGAATTCTTATACAAAACGCTGACCAACTTTCTATAAATGTAATGAAAAAAATCAATAAGTTTTATATTGTTTGCCTAACAATAAGTAATTATAACGTCGCATTGAAAAATATTCTTTATGCTATATTTTGATCGTTTTATTAATGCCACCTAATACCATGATGATAAAATTTAAGACAAAAATCAAGGGATTTCAAATCGTTATATCAATAAAAAATCATAAACTTCTGTAACATTTCAAGTTGTTTATATTTGAAATGATTTCTAATTTCCAGAGCTCCACATATCGAAGAAGCTGTGTAGAGATGAATTTTCTCCTGAAGTGAGAATTGTGAAAACCTGATTTGTAGAATATAAGATCATTATACGCAAATACATTAAAATATCATTATCTGGAAATAATAATATTTTGATGGTAGATACGAAGAAAATGAGATTCTATAAAAAATATTTTTCTCAATGCATCTTGTGGTCATTTTTAGCATATAAAAAGGATAGATAATAGAAATTATTATATTAATCTTTGTATGTACATATGTACACCTGTTTTAAGTTTAGTTCATAGACAACAATTAAATTCTCTGAAAATGTGTTCTTAGTGTGTTCATCTGTTTTGAGACTGTGAATATATGTGAAATATATGAGATATATGAGAAATGTGAATATATTTTACTTGAATGCTTTCTATTATGACAATAAATAGCTTATTCTTAGTTAATAAATTTCTTGCCATAAGCGGTTTCATGCGTAAAGTATACGAGGTCTGTTCAAAAAGTTTTCGTAATTTTCGTTTTTTCAAAAAAATATTTATTTATTCGTCTACATTAATGTGGTCCCCTTCAAAGTAGTCCCCCCCAGATATAATACACTTATGCCAGCGTTTTTTCCAATTTTCGAAGCACCCTTGATATTCACTTTTTGATATGTCCTTGAGCACTCTCGGCGATTTTCTTCAATCGAGGAAAACCGCCGTCCTTTCATGGGTCTCTTCAACTTTGGGAATAGGAAAAAGTCACACGGAGCCATATCTGGTGAATTTTTGCACTTTGCAACACTTTATTTCATTTTTTACGCAAAATTTAATACAAATTCTTTGACTTTTTCAATTCTTCCATTGTAAAAATTGCCGAGCTCAGAAAAACACGTCGAACCTTAGCGACTACCACAGACAAAGTAAACAGTGAATATAGCTGAAAATTTCATCATACTTTAGGGGCATGTATACCAACACAATAAAAAAAAAATTTTGACAATCAGACACTCCAGACCCGCGAAATTTAATTATTAGTAATTCCGGGTACTTTTTGAACACACCTCGTATACTTACGCTAAAAATATAAAGTGTGTACTATGATATCTATCTCATACTATGAAAGATTATAATAAATATGTTTCGAACATATTCACACAAGATTATGTAATGCAAGCATGTTAAAAATACGAGAATAAGTCATACATAAATGAAATGACAATTTATGAACCTTGAATAAACATGATTATAAATTCATTGCATAATAATACATCCATTATTCAAGTGAAGAAGCGAGTATATTTGGAAGATCTAGAAATTAGTATTTTTTAAAAATAAACTTAGCAAATAAATTTAATTAGTGTTGTTAACTTATCGACCGACGCACTTCTAATTCACAAGTTTAAAGTAAAATAATTTTTACAAAATAGACCAAATGACATATGATATAAATAAATATTCATTTTTAATAAAAAAAAAACTTTAAATCCAAGGTATCGGATAATAAAACTATATTTGAAACCAAAATTACTATTTTCCACATTTTTTTGCCTAGATTAATTGAATTGCAAGAGCTATTAAAATATTTTAGTTGAGATGTTTTAGTTGTTTACATTATCGTCTATACTACTTTGCTAAAATATTTATTTCCAAGATAACTTATTTGTATCACAAGGGTTTTCAATAAAAAGTTTGTCATGTTCAAAAGGTTTCAATGTTAAAAGTGGAATATGGAGCGATTTATGAATTTGTTCATATTAGATAACAAAAAGGGATGCCCCGTGAATTAGCGGTTAGAGCTATAAGATTCCAGGTTCCAAATTAAGCAGTAGAGCAGTAGGAACATTGGTTTTTGCTTGGAAATATAGATAGCAATGTTTCGAAATAAAAATAGCCCTTATCCGACATTGCTTCATCAATAAAAAAAAATCATCAGTATTATAAAAATTGTAATAACAACTCATCACAGAGTAAGGACATCTATTTGGGTTGCCAACTATAAAAACCAACGCAGTTATAGTAACTCATCACAACAGTTTATATAATCCTTAAAATCTGATCCCTGTGCAAATTTTATATATAAAAAGATAATAAAAAAATGAAATCACGCCACTTTCCTCGGAAATATTGCATCAAGAAGTAATCAGGCGTTGTCAGTGGTATAAAAACTGACATCCTAATTCTAAGCAGGTTGCTAGATCAAATTCATAACAGAAGTTTTTTTTTTTTAATTATGGCCTAATTTAAGTCTACTAATAAGTAAAAATGCATTTCATCTTTCTCGTTTTACTATTTTAAATAATTATCACTGTAAAGAATTGCAGCGCTGAACGATTGAATATCTTATGTAAATAGATGATCAAACACATAAAAATAAACTTTTGCCGGATTCTTCATAAACGGGCCATAATGCGTTATTTTTGGATTTACAGATATTGTGTTGTATCTTTATTCATAACCTATGAAGTTGCAGTATTACTATAAGCCTAATTATAAATAAATAGTATTATTATTATTACGTACATTTTCATCAAAGTTCCGTTCCATTAGTTTTCGAACCGTTATCGTTACTTGAAATGTCTACGGCCTATTATGAGCACATGCCATATGTATTGGCCAGCATTGATTAAAGATGAATATGCAAGGTATGTGGAATGTAAATATGTATGACAGTCGCGGATTACTTTAGCATTAACCGAAGAACGGTAAATGTGAAAAGGCTCCGCAAATAGAATTTCAAGAAATCTTGCATGCGGCCTTAACAATTTTACACTTTAATGGCGCCGGCTATATTACCAGATAAAACCTTACAACTTTAGTTAGGAGGTGCATAACGGAAATTATATACTAAACAGCATAAAAAAAGAAAGAGGGAAAATGATGAACATGCCATTTAGCTAAACCTTATATTTACGAAAACCAACAAAGTACGACTGGAATGATACTGCAACTAAATTCTTGTATAGAATCAACACCCATTTTTTAAAGTATGTGGACGATCATCCATAATCTAACGTTTTTTTGCTGCTGATTAACATGATTGTAACTAATGCATGGCCAGCCGAGGCAGCCATTTCAATGAAATCATTTTCAAAATTAACCACAAGTATTGTACTTTCAAATAAAAAAGAAATTTGAGAAATTTATAGCATTTTTTAATAAAAATGTTATTTGGCGCACCCTACACTGTGATTCAGTAACTATTGATCAGCCATAAATTTATTTGAACCAAATTTTAAATACGAAACTTTTTATATATTATTTAAACAGCGATTAGAACTTAAGGGTGCTCTAGTGTAAAAATTCAAAAAAGTCTTTTTCTATGTTGTTCTATACTTTCAAAGTTTAACAATTTAAGAATACATGTACGAGAGGATTTTAAAAAATTTAAATTATTTTTGAAGATACAGCTGTTTGACCATGATAATCCTCTTCTGTTACCTTCCTGTTAACTTACTGGACTTTAAACGCCTTTCTCTCAAAACCGTCTTTTTCAATATGATACCCAAGATTTTTCGAGTTCTATTGAACCGATTCTCTTGAAATTTTCAGAGAATTTACTTTATAGACTTATCCCTGGCCTCATATACTAGCTTCATCCCCAACTTCAATTTTACTATTTTTTTTAAAAAATAGTGAAATTTAAAAAGTGGTAAGAAAAATGATCCTTTGTTTCAAACAGTCGCAATTTTGTCAAAAAAAAATTTTTAACTTAATCGAAGCATATACCATTGCAACATCATTCTAGATTAATCATTTTTTCTTTCATTTCAGATTATTAGGAGGGCTTTTGGAAACCCTTTGGAAAAGTTTCAGATC